GATGAAGAGGAACGGCTAAATGGCTCCAGTGTTTCTGTTGTTACACTGAGAATGTTGGCAATGGTGTCTATCATGTATCCACACACACAGAGTGCTGGTGTGTAAAGTAAGTGGACTCCAGTGAATAGATGTGTCTGTTCACTCAGTGAATGAAGAAACAGAGATGAATCGGAGGAGGAGGAGGAGGAGGAGGAGGTGATGGAGACGATGGACACTGAAAGTTTCACTGGTGACGCAGGAAGAAGAAGAAGAAGAAGATTTTTTGATTTTTAAAATAACACTTTTTTTTTTTTTACAGTGGGTTTAAAACAATCAAGAACTACTGCCCCCTGCTGTTGAAACATGTCAGTGTTGTCTGTGATCCTGGGGAGAAACAACTCGGCGTCTCCACAGGATCAGAGCATCAAGAATCGACCCACTCTGTGGTCTGTCGGTGCGTGTCAGGTAGATCGACATTTTTTGCTTCTCCGATTAAAACAATTCAAGAGTTAGGGAGACCAACTCTACAGACAACGCCCTCTACAGAAAAACAGCGTGAAATTGGTCCGACAAAGGTCAAAACAAGTTGACCTCTGCAGACTGCCTTCACTTCATTTATAAATGGGGGCAGTTAGAGAGACGTCAAACAGGTTTAAAAGATGAGTTAAGATGAAGAGAAGGAAGAGGAAAAAAACAAAAAAGAAAAGAGAGAAGAAACAGTGAACACAATAAGACGAAGAAGAAGAAGAAGAAGAACAGGAAGAAGAAGAACAGGAAGAAGAAGACGAAAAGAAGAGGACGAAGACAAAGACAAAAAAGAAGAGGATGAAAAAGAAGAGGATGAAGAAGAAGAAGAAGGACAGGAAGAAGAAGAAGAAGAAAAAAAAGGAGAGGATGAAGAAGAAGAAGACGAACAGAAGAGGACGACGAAGAGGACGAAGAATAAAAAGAGGACGAAGATGAAAAAGAGGACAAAGAAGAAAAAGAGGACGAAGAAGAAGAGGATGAAAAAGAAGAGGACGAAGAGAAGAGGACGAAGAATAAAAAGAGGACAAAGAAGAAAAAGAAAAAATAATTAGAATTAGAAGAAGAAGAGAACGAAAAAGAAAAAGAGGATGAAGAAGAAAAAGAGGATGAAGAAGAAGAAGAAGAAGAGGACGAAAAAGAAGAGGACGAAGAAAAAGAAGCAGCAGCACAGCCACAGAGACCAGAGAAGAAGATCATTCACCAAATATCTTTCAGATACCAGAGGCTCTCACTGACGGCTACTGGAATCAACATAACACAAGAAGAAGCATACATTTTTGAATCTCTCTCTCCCTCTCTCTCTCTCTCTCTCTCTCTGTGTGTGTGTGCGCGCACACTGACCAGCTCTGTGTGTACAAGCGGCCGTTGTTACTTCGACACACCAGCCCATGACAAGCACACAAACCCAAACACGCTGAAATAATGACCACATTGCAGCAATAACACAGTGGGTGTGGCCCAAACTGCTGTTGTAGCGCTGCCTCCTGTGGTCAGCTGGTGTCACTGAGATCGGTTCAACAATTAGCAACGCCGTGATGTAAAAGCTACCATTTTCTTCTTTCTGTGTCATTTGTTGTAGGAGTGTGGGAGTTCACTAGTATTTAGTATTAGATTTAGATTATATTGTATATATTTTAGGTATATTTTAAGTCATTTCTGTTAGTTTTAATTATGCTGCTGCTGCTTTCCCTCCAAAACTCTCCTGGTTTCCAATAGCTGGTCTAGCTCATATGCAGTCTTTGCTGACTGTCAGTATATCATAGAAAATAAAAAATAAAATAAAATGATGAATTCCTTTAAAGTGCAGTAGGGTTTGTTTATAAAGAGAGGCCAAAGAGTAGGTTGAGCCAGTCCTGACCACTGACTCGTGTCCAGACATGTCCCTCCTCTTTCTCCACCCCCACACCTCACTGTTTCACTGTGGATCTGGTCCACTGATACTCTGCTTTTCACTTAGTAACAAAGTCCAAAAAAAAAAAAAACCCACACACCACACACACACACCGGTGTGGATGTGTGTGTGTGGGCGTAATTAAGCGCTGATGTAATGACAGTGTACAGGAAAGGTCGTCCATGTGACCCTGGGAACCTGTTGGTTGTCTGCTGATGAAAGAGACCAGAGACCTGGGAAAACTCATCCCCTTTATAGTCCAAAACACACACACACACACACACACACACACTGACTGTAAAGGGATACTCCTCTTGACCAATACCAGACCCTCAGCTCTTCACTTTTGCTTCATTTCACAGTTATTAGTTTAAGGTTTAACCTTTGACAACAGTCGCTGTGTTTTTGCATCTAGCAAAATCACAGATTTTTTTTTTTTTTTTAACAATTTCTTTGGAGTTAAACCCACAACTAAATGAAAATGTTCTTGCGCCTCACCGTGCAGTCAGACCTGTAATAGTCGCACTTAGTCTAACACTCAGATTAAAGGTTCAAGAGTGGGTCAGTCCAGTCCAGTCCAGTCCAGTCCAGTCTGGTCTGCATGTCCACTGTATCGGCTCAGAACCATCAGGACAGAATCTTCAGGACTCAGACTCACGACTGCAGATCAAAGCCTCCAACAGTTTCCCTCATGCTCTCACTGAAGGACCCTCATGTCTGGACCAACATCTAATGAGGCCCTCTCCTGAAGTGGACATTCTTTAGTCCACTGAAGACAATATGGAGCAAAAGAAGGTCAGAGAACTTGACTTCAAACGTGGGTTGTTTTTTTTTTTTCTTTTTTTTTTTTTTTGGTTTTGTTAAAGTTTCTGCCACAGGGCCTTCTGGGAAAATAATGAGGGTCACCATTGAAATGTGTGGAGGAGATGAAGAGGTGGAGTAATGAGAATGAAAAGACAGGAAGGAGGACAATGGGAAAAGTCCGTGACTGACGTGGGGACAGAGAAAGACACGGTGGGGGACGGTGGGAGAAGGGGAGGAAAGGAGGTAATGCGCATTAAAAACACCGTCACACCCACTGTTACTGTGTGTGTGTGTGTGTGTTTGTATATAGGTGCTGGTGGGCCAGATCGCACCAGTTTAAGGAGGCAGTCTTATATAGTCCACGTCACCATAGAATAGTTTGAGGTGAGTCAGGGAAGTGAGTCGCCACCGTATGAGTGTATGAAGACAGTTAGAAAAGTTGAGTCAGAGTCCGAGTCACAGCAGAACAAATAAAACAACTTAAAGAAAATAAGACGAGAGTCAGGGGCTCAGGGGTGTGCGTTCAAGTCCTAGACATGGGGGAAAGATATTTGGAGGAGAATACGAGTCAAAAAGGTGGACTAAGACTCTGGAGGATTAATCAAACCTGTGTGGCGTAAACAAAGAGTTTCAGAGTAAAAATCAAATCTCTGCTTGGGTTTCTGGGGTTTTATGTCTTCAGTTTAGAAGAGACTACATCGCGAGGACAAAGGAAGAAATAAAGCGCAACATTTTCTTTGCCCTCTAGAACAACAGCGTGAAATTGGTCCGCCAAAGGTCGGGACAAGTTGACCTCTGCATACTGCCTTCACTTCATTTATTTCCCTTCCTTACTCCCACTGTTGATATGGTAACATATATCCCTCTGAACTATGTACATGCACACACAGCCAATGTAACCCTGTTAAAGGCCTGTGCCTCGGCCTTGTGGACTGCTGACTGAGCCCGTGATTCTCCTCCATCAGAGGAAGCTGCAGATTAGCAGCGGATTAAAATTCTCCATGTGGATTCACGGGGATTCAGGATTTGGGAGGGTTGAGAGGCACAGCCAGGAATAGAGCTGTTTCTGTATCTGTGCTCAAAAGTATTTTTAGAGAATATACTTTTAAGACTTTTAGAAAGGAGGTCCGCGTTTAGGATGATGATGCGCTTCTGTCGCCCCCTGCTGGATTACTAAGAATTGACAATGGGTCGCACAGATATGGGTGAACAGTAAACTGAGACGTGCATTGATGACTGTCCTGATTTTCTGGAAAATGCTGTGTGCATAAGAGGAAGACATGACTAAATGCAAAAAAAAAAAAACTCTGTGGTTTTTGAAAAACATCAGTTTGAATCAACAGGGGAATTAGCTGAAAAGGTAATACAGAAGTGTGCCGCTAACTTACAAACGCAAATAAACAACGTAAATGATGGAGAAAAGTGTATATTTTTGTTTTGAGGTTTGAACATTTAAAGATTGAACATTGTATCCAGAGGCAGGAGGCTGTAAATCTTTTAAGAAAATGTCCAAAATGCTGCTAAGAAGCAGGTGTCAAGTGTCAGATACATTTCTGCAGGGGCTTCATCTTCCTCCTCTTTTAAGCCTCTTTGAGGAAAAAGTCCAGACTTTATTTCATTTGGCAACAAGGTTCAAATGAAAACAAAATCAAAACTTTCTGAATTTGCTAGCAACGCCAAGAAATATTTTTTTTCTCTCCAAATCAGACTGTGAGAAAAGTGTGTAAGCGGTCTCGACTCATTTCATCCGAAACATGTGTTTGTTGCTCAACGGGAGTTTCACAATAGCAGTAACAATGATGAGCCAGTCATCAACATGTGGTTAGTTCAACGTCTACATCGATATTCTTCATGAAACTGTTGAGTTCACGCCGCAGTGTTGCTGCATGTGCATGTGTTAGCACGCAGTAGCAGTTTCGTATATGAATGGTGGATATTAGCAACTATTAATTTTCCGATCAGGTTGTGTGAGTCTGACATCTCCTCCATTTTTTTTAGTTAAACTTCTTCTCCTCTAACATCTTTTAATGAGTTTTTTTGTCCCTGTATTAACCTGTGACCTAGTGTTAGGAGCAGTGTGTTTTTATCAAAAGATTGCAGGTTTGAATCCCAACCTGGTTGGATGTGCTAAGGCGATTTTTGCAAGTATTTAGATGTAACTATTTAGTCATAATTGTTATGTATTTTTCACTTTGACCAGTAGATGGCGACAGAATGACGTTGTGTTAAAAAAGTATATTTTAAACTGGTAACAAACTTAAAACTGTCCTGAATTACAATAATCTAGATCATCACTCACCCATTTCCCAGATCTTCGTCGTCATCATCGTCGTCATCATCTCCCTCATTCGGGCTCCTTCCACCAGCGTCACTGTCGCTCATGTATCCTCCCTTCAACAGCGACGTGTCCGCGTCCTCCAAGTCCTCAACGAGATGAATACGGGACATGATATGCCTGCTCCTCTGCGGGACGTCAGTCTGGGTGTTTCCCGATGATGGAGCGTCTCCAGCCTGGAGGCGGGGACTGGCCTGACCCTGACGCCACGACAGGGGCGAGGAGCGGTTTGAAAGAGTGGAGATGGAGAAGGCGGCGGCTTCGTCGCTGTCGTAACACGTGCTTCCCTCCACACAGCTGCAGAGAGGGATACACAGAGTAGACTTTCAGATTTCAAATACCGATATACATTGTACACAAATATTTATATTATACAGTATCAACTTGGAAAATGTGGGGGGAAAAAACTGTCCATGACTTAAAATGGTAGCACTCTTAATAGGAATGAAATTATGTACAGCCTTGTTTAAAAAGTGTCACCAGAAAGTCCACAGAGGAATGATTTAAACTGACATTACATGGACACTGTTTATGATCCACTCCATGCCCAAGTCTCACTGTGATTGATTTTTTTTAATTCAATTTAAAGTGAAGGTGAATTAAAGCGAAACCTCGGTTGTCGAACGCCTCCCTTTTTCAAACAATTCAAAACAAAAATTTTAACCAACAATTTCCCCCGTTGTCGTACCAAAACTCCGAACGAGCCAACAATATCACGCAGGCAGCAAATGATCACTGAGTGACTGAGTGAGTGTGTGGCGTCAGTCCTGCCTCAGTCTGCCCTCGGGGTATACACACTACGAACTGTTGTCTGATTTTGCCAGTATTTCTTTCTGCCCTGTGGGATTTCTTTTATTTTTTTTATTCATTCCATAAATCATCACGGGACCTAAAAAAAGCAAGTGAAAGGGGGACGGTGAAAATGAAAATAGTGAGAACAACAATATGTTTCAGATCTGTCTTTACAGTTTGGGTTGTATGACTCCTCAGCTCCAGTAAGGATGAATAAAATCTATCCTATTTACAGCTTTATTCTTTATTCAGCTGTGTTTATCTTTTTTTTGTCAGATCTAATTATTTTCCAATTTTTTTGTATGAAGTTGTACACAAAAAATTGTAGAAAAACTTCCAATAAGCAGTCATCCGGGGTCCAGGAACTGATTAATCCATTTTACATTGATTCCTATGGGAAACTTTGGTTCACGAACGGCCTTCAGGAACGAATCAAATCTGAGAACCGAGGTTCCACCGTACTTGTCATTGGGCAGTTCAAGAGCCCGGGGAGCAGTGTGTGGGGACGGTGCCATGCTCAGAGCACTTGGCAGCTGGTGGACTCGAACCTGAAACCTTCCTTAAGTTTCCTTAAGGTTCCTTAACCACCAAGCCACCCAGGGCTGACCAGAGTTACACAAACTGGGCAGAAGTTTTCTTAAAAAAAAATGATGAAGTCCATTTTCACAATTGGGGAAATTCACAGTGTGAGTCTTTGCAACCTACACAAGCTGCCACAGGAGGCGCCATTACGTATGTGGTTCCTGTGGGGCTCAAACCCAGGACCTTCTGAGTGTAAGGCAGGCGTAATAACTGCTACACTATAGCTCATTTGGCTCGATAAGATTAAATCCTTGATTTTTCTACGTGGACCAGTTGCTAATTAAACTAAAAAAAAATTTTTTTACAGTAAACTTAACATTTTGCTTTACAGGAAACTCGTTTGTCCTTCGAGAGGACAGAAATAATTCGGGGTTACTACAGAGTGTAGTGAGGTCAAATGTTTTCCAACAGAGAACCATCTGTTGGTTTTTCTTCCACTGAGCGACAGTCAGGATTTATTTATGACACGTGGACAGCAGCAGGAGGTGGAGGAGGAGGAGGAGGAGAGGAAGAGGACGGGAATGTCAAGGACAAAACCACAGCAAAAGACACAGCAGGCATGATGGACATCAGTCAGAGACTAACAGGAAGTAGAGGAGGTAGAGGGACTCACAATGACACACACACACACACACACGTGCACGTGCAGTTAATCACAGTGTTATTAGACGTCAGGTCCCTTCCTCTCACGGAACACTCATGGAGTTCATTGACAAAATATGATACCATTCAAAATGCTGGAGTGCCCTCTGGTGGAGGGAGTGCAGACCTGAGCATATATAGAGTTTAAAGCAGGGGTGTCAAACTCATTTTGGTTCACAGGCCGCGTACAACCTAATTAGATTCACAATCACAACATAACCGACTATAAATACCAATAGGTCCATGTTTTTCCCCTTTGTTTTCATGCGAAGAGGTACAAGCATATTAGATATTAATTATTCATATTTATTCACAACATAATATGAAATACAATTTTACAAAAATATCCTGAATGTGAAAAGTTTGTGTATTATTATTATTTTTTATTTCAAAATTCATCAAGCGGGCCGTACTGAACACCCTAGTGGGCCGATTTTGGCCTGCAGGCTGTATGTTTGACACCCCTGTTTAAACAATGTTAACACCTAATTATTAGGTTTTTTTAAACATGAAAACTCCTTAAGTGTGTCTGCGCGTTATTCACCTGTGGCTCAGCTGCGCCCCCCTCAGGCTGGTCATGGTTTCCTCCAAGTTTTGTCGAAGGTCCAGCACATTTTGCACAGTCCTCTTCCTCTGAGATTCTGGATCTTTAATAGAGAAAAAAAGAGTCAAAATATTACTTTAATTTGTAAACTGTGGCTAAAACCCATGGGGATTATTGTTGTGGTGACCACAAATAAAACGGTCAGAAAAATAATAACGGCAAAACGTGCGTTATTTTTAATTGGCTTTGTTAAAAGGCGATACAAACGACAATCTGCTGCTCGGAAATCATCAGCTTTGTCTTCTGAAGAACAATGGAGGCACATTCAGCAACATGTCTGACAGACAACCACACAATAGCACAAACCAGCGCACGCACACGCACACGCACACACATACACAGCCACTAATTGCCTGTTTAAAATTTCCCTAAATGACAGCTCCGCTTAAAATTAGCATGAAATGGATTAGAAACGGTCTGTGCGTGCGCGCGTGCGTGCGTGCGTGCGGGTTTGACAGACATCCTGTGCTGCCTCTGTGCTGTTGGTCCCAGCTGGCACGGCAAGGGGGCGGAGCTTCACTGTCAGTGTTGTTGAAATCACAGATGCAAATTTCCCTGTCAGGTTTGCAGAGTTCACAAGAAATTACAGTCATCTGCTTCAAACTGACAATGTGTCAGCGCAAGTGTGTGTGTGTGTGTGCGTAAGTGTGGGTCTGTACCTTCTGTGAACTCTCTCTCTCTCTCTCTCTTGTTATTGTGAAGAACTGTCTAAAGACCAGATTTTAGAGTTGAGAGTTTTTTTTTTATGTGGGCTAAACAAGACATACACAGAAAGAGAAAACATAGCGGTAAAAAGAGAAAAAAAAACAAAAACAAAAATAAACATGTCAATCCTTAAATATTAGATGACGTGAAAGGACTCTTGTTCCTGTCTGACTTCATAGAACTCTCCATTACAACGAACTCCCTAAAGCAACACTAATGACTCTGTCCTTGCAGGAGAAGTGTTGCACGTGCATGCGCACGTGGACTCAGGTTTAACCTGGTTTTTTTTTATTTTAACCGCTTTCACTTCCTGTTGAAAGAAAATTTCTCCGGCCGTCGTGTCTTTGCATGGCCTGGATAAAGATCTTCTCTTGCAGCAGTGCATCAGTGTACAGATAAATGTCACCCATCTCCTAGCTGCTGCGTTTGTGATATGACATCAATTTTATAGTAAAGTAAAGAGGAATGAGAATTGGCTAAAACTGTGGACAAAAAGAAAATCACAAAAAATCCAAACAAAATAGCAAAAATCAATCTATAAGAGTCCAAAATAGTTAAAACAGAAAGGTTAAAAAAATTTGCAAAAACAATAAAGACTTTACAGACAGAAAGAAGTTCCTGCAGACATTGGTTTCGTTTCTAACAGCAGGAGGTGGAACCACCAACCTGGTTTCTAGCAGATACCACTAAATCCACTATGACCAACTTAGGAGGCATAACAAATGTTGCATTCAGAATTTCCAGCTGCTCCGGCTAAGGAGCTGGAGCCAGTCACTGCTGCGATCAGCTGAGAGTCAGGACTAAACCCTGAACACATCAGGAATCTCAGCCTTTTTCAGTTTGAATCAGCTTTCTCCGCTCCGAGGTTAGCGGGCTGTCCGTGTCAATCAGCCCCAGCTTTCTCCGTGTTCCTCTTCCTCTTGTGTCTTTGACCTCAGACTGCTTGTAAACAGGAAGCATTACAACACGCGCATCTGCACATCTGGACAAACACCGGCTCACTGACCTAACACAAACACTCACAGATGGCGCGCGTGATGTCATCGGAATCGTTAATGAGGCCGAAACTGATTTAACACTTGTTTCTTAAGATGTAAGAGATAAGACCGGAGAAACATATGGCTTTGTTGTTTCTTAAGATGTAAGAGATAAGACAGGAGAAACATATGGTTTTGCTTTGTTTTTTTTTTCAGATGAGACATACATCCAGGTGTGCATGTGCGTGCATTAGTCAGTCTAAACATGACACACACACGTACAGTCAGGAGGACGCATCGTGTCTGTCAGCGTTTGTTCTCTAGTTTGAAAGGGTTTGTTTCCTGTGGAAGAGGTCGGTTTTTTTTTGTTTTGTTTTTTACCGTGTTCTTAAGCACAGCTGCTGAAACACACACGTAGACACACACACCCACACAGACAGACTGTGTGCCGGTCAGCAGGCTGAGGAAACACACTCACCACTGTGTCTCAACCCAGTCAAATGACCAAAGTGTTTGTTTCTGAAAACAAACCCGACTCTGAGGAGCAGCTCAGTGTTTTACAATCACGGTGTTTTCCAAACGCATTTATTCCGTCCCTAATGGAGTGTGTTAGCAACGAGCTAGTCAGCTGACTTGTTGACAAACTTCCAGGAAGTGAAATGCAGTGAAACGTTACACTTGAGCTAGGAACCTCATTTTAGTCAAGCCATGAAATACATTTTTACATACATGTTTCTTTTTTAAAAAAAATATTCAGTTACTTTTGAATATTGCCTGAGAAGTTCTGTTCAGCTTCTGTACTGACGTCATTACAAATTGCAACAGTGTCTTCCTCAAGTAAACAAAAAAAAAACACCAGCAGTAAGAGCGCCCCCTGTTGGATAAAGGGGGTAATTAACGGTATGAGACATAATAAAGATTTTACCTCCTTCAATTTAAACTTCTTCATGTTTGAACCATTTTTTTAAACATGTGAAATACAAATTGTTGTTTGTGTTGGTGTGTTTTGTGTGCGTGTTTTGTGCGCGCGTGTGTTTTTGTGTGTGTCTGCTGTATAAGAGCTGATTAGGCAGAAACACTAAGCTCTAATATGATTTAGAAAGAAGAGCAGGAAGCAGACAGACAGCACTAATGCAATGACTCCTGCATTAAGTCTTTAAGTGAGAGACCACAAAGCACTGTAAACATACTGCATGCTCACACACACAAACATACACACACACACGCTGACAAAATGCACCGTCATGGATATGTTTTTTGTTTTTTTTTCCCCCCTATCTCGGTGCATTCTGGAAGGTGCAAATTCTCAAACTGAGGACAAAGAGGGCGGATGGGCCCGGTTCACTTGTTTCTCCACGGTTGCACGGGCAATGATTTATCAGCCTGGACTACAGGAGGAAAAACTGGAGGAGGAAGGAGGAGAGGGAAGCAGGAGGAAAAACTGGAGGAGGAAGGAGAGGAGGAAGGAGGAGAGGGAAGAAAAGATGATTGTCCTGAATCTTTCACTCATACTCAGCAGAGTGAGGACAATGAAGGATGTAAACACGGGCGAAGAGCCAGAGGAGAAGCCGCTTCCCGTATTCTATCAAAATACGAGTAAAAAAAAAAAAATCATTTCAGTCTGGCTTAAACCATCTAAATCTACAGGAAACGCTGATCATTAGCAGACTACTGTCTCATCACGGGCTCTTTATCCTCACGTGAGGAATCATCTCGAATCTCAATGATGTCTTAAGGCTGGAGAATCTGCCCCCCCCTGCTGAGACAGACTTAACCCTTCTCACCCTCATTCCTAAAACTGGGGGGAAAAAGAAGAGGAGGAGGAGGAGGAGGAGGGACACAGGGAGGTCATCATTACAGATATAAACCTCTATATATCTGACTACAGAAAAATGTTCTGTGGTCAGATGTTGTTTTTTTTGACATGACATTTTTGTGTCAAATATGATAAGTATAGTACAGTATAAATCTGTCTCCATATAAAATGACTGGAGCTGACGGGGGGAAACCGATGTAAATAAAGCAGTGAGCAGCAGCGACATTCTATAACTGAGTAAAAAAAAAAAAAAATTAATTTCCACTTCTGCACTAATGAAACCAGGAAACGCCTTTTTTTTTAAAAGAAGCTACGGCTGAGAGCAAATGTAGAAGTGAAAGTGATGCCAACAGCGACTAAGATTTCAACTCAAAGGTTTACCCCATTGTCCCAGCCATTAACGCGTGTCGCAGCGTTCATGGTGCGCTAGCTCACTAACTACCTGCTAATGATACACTGCCCCCCCCCTTTTCTGTACCCCCTCCTCTTCCTCCTCCTCCTCCTCCTCTCCCTTTCACCATCATCCAGATTCCCCTCTGTTCTCCCACAAGTTGCCCCCGGTTACAGGCACGGGATGATGGGTGGTGGTGGTGGAGGAGTTGGAGTTGGATAGTGACCATCTGTCAGTGAGTCAGAGATCAATGGATTTAAAGAGATAGGAGGGAGGGGGGTAAAGATGTGTCACACTTAGACACACACACACACACAGAGAGAGACACACACATTTGACTGGGGTTTCCATCCAGATCGGTGTGTTTCTGTGTGACTCACATACAAATCCTCACAGCCACAGTTAAAAACCGGCACCGTAAATAAACCTCTGAGGTTCACCAACATCTCACACCACAGTCCTGCGCCTGTAAATCACCACAGCCTGTGCTCTCTACTGCTCTGTGAGGTGTGAGGTGTCATTGTATTCATTTTGAATGCGTGTTTATTCCAGTGAAATCTTCAAAAAGCGAACCAAATTTTCAGTATATGCTGTAGCTCTACGTAACGCAAGGCAGAGTATAGTATATATATATAATATATAATATATAATATATATATAGCATATATACTTATATAGTATAGTATAGTATAGGTAGTATAATTTTTTTTTCTGCTCGTTCAATTGCAAGTTCTCTTTACTTCTACTAAGGAGGTTTGTTTTGTGAACCACAACTGAAAGTAGAAATAGGAATATAGAATTAAACTGAAATTGTACATATGAAACAAAATGACCGACAGCTGCAGAGAACTGTAATCGCCCAATGTTTTTATCAGTCGGTAGGTGACTTGCAATGGCAAACATTACACAGTTTATTGAACACTTTTACCAACGTGAACGCAATGTGGCCAAGCTCCTACTGTAGTACGGTCAATATAAACGACCTGACAGTCGATAGAAAACGCGCTATAATGTATTTTGTATGGTGTCCATTAGTGATGGGCAATACCAGAAAACCAATGACCTATTTGGCAATTTTTTTATCTGATATCTATCACTGATAGTCAAGTGTCAAGAGACTTGACTTAAATGCTGTCCATTTAATAACTTAAATATGTATTTTTCATCAAAACATATCAGTCATAACAACATGGAATTACTTTATTTTTACACAGTGTAACCTAAATAGTTGAACTGCTACCATTAAGGGACAAAGATGTCTAGTGGACTTTATCACATGGAGTGACTGCTATCGTCTGGTCAGTGGTCATGTGACATGAATGGATCAGTTCAATTTGACATTTTCGTTGGGCGCTGCAGCACAAAAGCCTGGACGTAGTAAGTTACTCTAACAGATGTGGAAGCGTAATCGATACTTGTGTGAGTATCGATATATCAATGCCACAGAGTTGATACGCTCAACACTGATGTCCACTGATTTTCGCTCTCCTTTTACACTAATATTTATTATTTTTCTCTTCCCCTATAGGCCAGCCGGCAAAGTTCGTGAAGCACAGAGCTCCGCTGTTCAATGGAGTTGTACACCCCCAAGAAGAGTATTCAAAAAACTGTATTTCTATCAACTTTTATGATACAAATCGTCATCTAAATAACGCACATTTTTTATGAGCACTCGAAAGGTCAGTCACATTTAGGTCCATTTTCTATTCGTAAAAAATGCCCGGCCAAAATATTTTCCCAATACTTAATATTTCACAGCATAATGAACGAAAGAGTTCATCTAATGGAAAGAGATTTGTATGCTGCTGATGAGACTATCAGAGTCACAGTGTGACACCAGGTTCAAACCCCAACTGGAATCTTAGTCAACAACCAAACAATGTTGGTCATTGTGTCAGCTCTAAGTTCGGCTAATGAGAGTTCATAGTGACTAATGTGAGTGAAACGAATCAGGTCAGCAGATCTATCAGGTCAGTGTCAGTGTGAGACGAGACATGTTTGGGAGCTGAAACACAAACAGAGACTAGCTGTGAAAGAATACGACTGCTGCTGCTGCTGCTGCCGCTGCAGAGGGGGTGTTAAGAGACACTGCTGGGTTTGGGTGGAGATCTGGGTCACATGTTCTGTCAAAGTCACACCAGTGTAGTGACGTCAGTTCAAATGAGGTGAGAACGTTAGAGATCTGCCCTATACAGCAGCGGCCCCCAACCTTTTTTGTATCAAGGACCTGTCTGCTGGTAACAGCTGTTACTGCTGATCATATCATCGATGAACTGCGGCCCGGTACCAAATGACCTATGGACCAGCACCGATCCCCAGACCGGGGGTTGGGGAGTATACTTGGGGAGCCTTGTTTTATAGTATACTTAGGTTCAGACAGGTTGAACTTTGTTATCAAGGGGGACTGTGGAAAAATATTTACAGATGCTTGACCATTAACAGACACATGTGTGTTTCCACTCACTGTCCCAGACTGTAAACTTTTTGCAATCTTCAGTCACTGAGAGACCATGAGATGATTGCATCTCCACCCGGTGGTCTGCAAAATGCTGCACAATTTGCAGTGAAGTTGTCCATCTGACAGGAAGTCTAACTTCATCAGCTTCACTTGGACACACCGGTTTAATACTTTCCATCATGTTTGTATATATTTTTTTTATTAACACTGACAAGTCGGTCGTAAAAACAGTTTGGTCTTTCATCTGTGTTGATTTGGCAGCTTCTCCTCATTGCTCTGTTATTATGTAACAATGTTTTGCAAAGCAGGAGCAGCTTTCACTATCCAGACTTCAGACCCCACAGCGGGAACACAACCACATCCAGATGAACCACATGCTCTAATTTAAAGCATGTGCTTCTGAACTGTCATGATGTGCAGGGTGATAATAAAAAAAAAAAAACTTAAACTATAAATAAAATTCAATGAAAATCAAATAATTGCAGGAGACTCAAAGATCAGCCATGAAAGTTGGACTTATATGTAGCAAGAATAAGATTCTAGACTCACCAAGGATTTGACTGAAGAGAAGCTGCTCTAGATCCCCCAACACTGTCACCACTAACTCTGGATCCACCTTCAAGAAATTCTTATCTTCCTCTGTCTGCATCTCTTTCTTCTCCTCTGTTGACAGCGATGCAGATCTGACTTTCTCTCCTGGTTTCTTTCCAAGATTCCCTGTTCCGTGGGAGTTCGTCTTGATTGGATGGTCCTCAGGCTCTCTGTCTGCCTTCTGTTCCACCTGGCAGGTCTTACTGATGGGTTTGACCTCAGCGTAAGGTCCTCGTGGTTTCCCAGGTCCTGGGATTCTACTTAGTTTTCCCGCTGTGGAGCCCACAGGTTTGGATCGTCCCTGAAAAAGCGACTGTTCCGACTTCGACAGGGTCCGGGAAAGTGTTGTTTTCCCACCCTGGCATGTTTTAGTCTGACCTGGTTTGTCAGCGCCAGTACCAGACTTCCCCGTAGAGTCATTCAAGCGTGACGACTGGTACAAGTGCAGTTTCTTCTCGGCGTCTGTGAGAACGGAAAGATTAGTAAGAGAGCGCTGCTTCCGAAGACCCGATGGGTTTGGTACCGGGACGGGAATAGATCCAGAGGACGATCGGTAGACGGTGAGCTCTGATCCGGAGGAAGATGTAGAGGACGATGGACGTGAAGGTCCCTGAGGCAGAGCTGAAGGTTTGGGTGTGGGCTTCCTGGAAGCCATGGTGTGCAGGTCAGATGAATCTGGGCACGGTGCTGCGTGGGCAGCGGCGGCGGCGGTGGTGGTGGTGGTGGTCCTGGTCTTCAGCTCTGTGGGCTTAGCCGTCATGCTAATGTTATCGACAATAGCCTCCAGCATCCCCCCTGCAGAGATCCAATCAGAAGCATAATTGACTCACAGACTGAAAAACAAAGAGAGGGAAAATATAACAGCCAAGTCCAGACTCCAGAAAATGGTGAGTCTAGATGCTCAGTGTAGATGAGGGGTGGGTTAGCAGCAGCAGCAGCAGCAGCAGTCAGACCTCCCTCTAACTCACTGCTGATAAATCCATGGACCTGCAGCCCAGCGCCTCAGTCTCCTCAGGGTGTCTGTGGCTCGTGATTTCACAGACGACAACGGCAAACACCACGGGGAATCAAACCACACACTCCTACCTCGGTGTCCCTGTTACCCAGCTCCACCGCTGTGTGTCTCCTGCTGCTGTTCAGTCGAGCAGCAGCAGCAGCAGCGACTGATTCACTGACTGACTGACTGTCAGCGGCAACAACATCCTCCTCCTTGCTTGCTCTCTCTCTCCAAATGTACTGTGAATGTCTCTCTCTCTCTGGTTTCCTCACTCACCCCCTCTGGCTCATTCAGTCTCCCTCCCCTCCTCCTTCCTCTTTCTCTGACACACACTACAGATGCTGAACACCCGTGAGCGTGAACCTAAGGGATCAACGGTAAATTGCAATTGTCTGTTAGAAAGGAAGGGGGGAAAAAAACCTGTAATGAACCCAAACAAATACACACAGGCGTGTTATCAGCTCTGGTTATCTGCTAACACCTGCAGATAATTAAACTCATTCAAATGAACTAGAATGAGAGGAAACTATAATCACAGAAGCCCCGCCTACCTCGTACGACCTCTAACCTCACCCTGACCCTCACTTCATTCTCAGCTTATTCTAATTGGTTCATTTTACTATTAGAAGGAAAGGGACGTTTTCAGACAAAATTCTAAAGACATAAATTTTTTTTTTTAAAAAACAGCAAAAATTAATTTTCTTATTAACAGCTCAGTGACTGCAAATGTGTTAAGTTGGACACGTACTCCGAAGAGCCCTATGGGAATATGACAGAAACAATGACTCGTCCTAGTAACACAACGCGACCACACGAGGCAGAATGATTTACATTTAGTTTTATATTTATATTTTTTTATTATAGCATTGTTTTAATTCAATTAAAGATTTCACCGTACCGTCTTTACCTCAGCTCCAACACAACAGTTTCCCCAGTGTGGGATCAAGACGGTTAAAAACTAACCTAATCTAACTGGGTTGTTCTAGATTAACTGACGTAAGAGCAAATGATTCAACCCAACCAAACACAACTCAATTGTTTTGGTGGGGTTTATAAAGGTGTTCAAAAGAAGTTTCAAAAAAAGCCGTAGGTTTGTCGTTGTCAGATCTTTCAAACAATAGGCTCAAACACTGCGACTTTATTTGTTTTGGGAGACATTTCATTATCCTGTGTGAACAAGTCGGCAAACAACACCCACGGTGCTGTCAACAGTTTAACTGAATTATGCAAATTGCCACAGGAGTCGGGTTTTATCCAGGTACTGTTGTGACAGTTAAAACCACTGAATGGGGTTTAGTAGAGAGAAAGTAAAGAGAGAGAGAGAGACATAGACACAGAGTCACTCTCTCTCTCTCCTGGTACGTAAACGGTAAAACCCAGATATTTTAATCCACTAAAACCGTATGTACAGTAAATGCCCGTATTGATTATTAATGTTTTAATGGAGAGAAAATTGAATTTGTGCCACGATGATGATTCAATGCTAATGGAAATAGCGGAAGATTTCAAACAGACTCCACTGAGCTGTTTATGTGTCTCTGCTGTAGACCTGATATAAATCTAAATGAACTGCACTCTTCTGGCTCTGAATCAAACCTCCAACCGGAGCCTCAGGTAAAGTCTGCTACAGTCCTGTGAGTCAGACCAGGGTCCATTTAAATCCCGTTAATGTTCACGGGAACATTCTTTCGATCATACAGTATCAATAATTTAACTAACTTTATTCATTTAGGCATTAACTGTTTTTTTTTTAGTATTGTATCGGTTGTCTTTGGCCGACTCCAGCCTAATGTTTTGATTCACTCTGTCAAACTTTTGGCTGGTGTTGAGATGTTATTAAATAACCTGATAAATAAAGGTCACCCCAATGACTGAGGCCATTGCGTCCGGCCATAACCATTAAACAGAATCAAACATTAAACAGGTGGTGATGACTTAAAAAGGGAAGATGAATTTAGAACTTCTCCAGTAGTTCTAGACCATATGTGTCAAACTCAAGGCCCGGGGGCCAAATGCAGACCGCCAAGTCATTTTGTGTGGCCCGAGGGAGCTTAAAAAGCATTTTTTAAGTCCATGCAGCAGAGTTTCTTAACCTGAGAAATTTAATTTTTTTATAATCAATGAAATAATAATTAATTGCAGAAACATGTATTAGTCTGTAATGGAGTAGTTACATCTATACCAGCGGTCAAACTTTTTAGTTCCAAGGACTGGTCAACCAGTACCATCTGTTACTAAAGACTGATATCAAGGTACTGAGCATTGAAAGATTATTACATTTTCAAAAAAAACATCATTCAGACTTTATTCTATATCAGAGTCTGAATTACATATTATTTCAAAATATTGCCAGATTATCTCTAAATGGAGAAAGTAAATGGATATGACTGGATTTTCTTTGAATGAAGTAAATTAGTAAAAATGAAGTACGTTTTCTCTGCGTCCCACTGTGGCCCGGTACCAAATGATTTATGGACTGGTACTGGTCCGCGGACCAGGGGTTGAGGACCCCTGATCTCTACAGTCTTCCAGTTACAACCGGCCCTTCAAGGGGAACTGTGTTGCTGATGTGGCCCCCGGTGAAAATGAGTTTGACACCGCTGTTCTAGACCATGAAGACAGACTTTTCTAATAAGACAGCAAGACTAAGTATCTTCACAGAAAACACAGAGAAGAGTCCAAGTCTTTTTTTTTTTCTACAAATGTGATGAAGTGATGTTGAAGGAGTCAGAGATGAGCGTCTTCAGTGAGGCTGTCACATCAATGTGACACACAGTTACTAAAGACGGTCACTGCTCCTACACCAAAGTCTGTAGACAAATGAATAGATTTGGATTTTACCCTGGAATTATTAATCTACCGCTGCCCACAGTTGTAAGTTAACCCCGTAAAACCATTTCTATCAAGACGGAAAAACAGTTTCAAATGTTTAAGGGCAAAATTTCTAAAATGAACATTGTTGTGAGCTTAAACGCCTGACATATCAAATAAAATACAAAAATGATTCATAAACAAAACTAGGCAGCAATTTATTTAAATTTTGTTGTAATGCCTAATAAAAATCTCAATTCCAAAAAAAGGTTTAATGTGACAGGTTTTACAGCGTTTAGTCTGTTTTTTTTTTTTTACTTAAAAAAAAAAAATCTGAAAAACTGACCACACGAGGCAGCAGTGGATCGGCAGCTGCTGTGTCCCTGTGAGCTTAGATCAGTGTGAAAGTATGAGCGGTTTACCACCCGTTTTTCTTCAACAGAAATATCGACACATAAAATACTTTATCTGAATTAACTTAATTAGCTTAGCTCATTTTCCACAGCGCTCACAAAAGTCCCCAATGATTTTATTTCAGGTTATAATTTAATCATGTTCACCAAAACCCCACCCAAACCCCTTTTCGGTCTGCTTGATTTTCAGATATTTTGTTTACGATCTTCTAAAGGACATTTTTTGGGAAAAACACGAAGGTTGCGTGGATGGGGAAAGAAAACATCTGCAGACATTTTAAAAACAGTTTTCATGAGTGTGCCTGTTTGTGCGGGTGAGAGGTTTAATGTCTTAAATTTTGAGCAGCGGGTTTCAATAAAAAGGGCCAATGTTATGGCAGTGGCGCCACTCTAAGAGCAGAGCTTTCGACGCAAATATGAGGCCGATCATTGGACGCTGGGGTATGAGTGGGTTGGTCTGAAGGATAAAAGGGGAGGGGGGGAAGGGGGACCATTTGAAAAAAAAAGTAATTTGATGCTAATAGCTGCCCTTATTCCTCTCTGATGATTACGGTCAGTTCAGTAAGAGGCGGGCCAACAAGGCAGGTCTTTGTGTGTTCGTGTACATACATGGAGGACATATATGTTCTGCAGCTCGTCTCCGTGGCTCCACAGTCTGATCAGTTTAATATATGACTGATGTAAATGTACAGTAACATACACACAAACATAAACACACACACACTTCTCTGATGCCAGGCCAGAGTGCTCAGGTCACCCAGACAGTCTGCGCTGTATGAATGTGCGAGTGACTCCAGGGAAAATAAATGGGAAAAATTTGCCTAGAAACACAGAGAGACTTTGAGCTAAAAGCTGAACAAGTGAGACCAGTTTAGCTACAACTGAAGGAATTTAATTTTTTTTTTTGCTTTTCTAAATTATGAACTGAGTTATTTTATGATCTGTTTGACCTGAGCGTGAACCACTGAGCTCACACTGTCCACCTTGTGCAACTTGAAATGATTTGAATTCAACTAAACAAATCAGCATTCATCAAATCATCGCCGCAGCTGTTGTTATCTTCCTGTTTTTACGTATACATGTTCGGGTCGTCGCAGCGGCCGGCTAAAAAAAGGTCCCTAAGCACCGAGACGGTCGATGGAGTGTGCTCTGACTCTTTCTTCCTGTTGGCTTCCCATACTTTGTGTGGATGAAAATAAAACTGAGACAGAGGGGTCTCAAGTGATGAGGAAAAGAAAGCGAGGAGGAAGAGAAGGAGGAAGTAGCCTGGGTGAGGAAGGATTTGTGTCTTGGTGACTTAGCAGCAGAGGAAGTGAGTGAGACAGAGAGAGGATTTCCTGCTCTGCTGGCTCACGTTCAGCTGACACACTAAGGGCCGCGACTCATCAGGAGACGGAGACTGTAAATGTCCTGTTTACAGTCCTGATCCTGGTCAGAGCTCTGGTCCTGGTCCTCAACGCTCACGCCGTAAAACGTATGAGTCAGAGCTGACACGCCAGAGGCCAAGAATGACACAGTGTGAGTGTATGAAAGTGAATCAGGGCTCAAAGAACAACAGGCACTGGTATTCACAATTAGCTTTTGTTAGTTCTTTAGAATTGACGTACACAAGGAGAACTCCTAGTCAAAGAAGGAGACCTAACGAAATGTTCGTTAGTTTCTGACTTTTAAGATTACAGATTTTAATGTCAATAGTTTGGGTTTTTTTCGTGCTCTTATGTTAACTTTTGATTAAAATATTGTAGCCATCTGTGTTTAGCAACTGCTAGTTTTTTTGCCTACTGTTCCAAGTGTTAGCTACACCTAACTGTGCTTTCACCTCTTTTACACAATACCAAACGTAGTTAGCCTCTTTGCTAACTAAATGCTATGGCTAACTTCTAGTCAGAATCGACGTAATTCTTAGCAGATTTTGTCTTTTACATATTTATATTTATATTCTGAAGAGAAACGTTAACTTTGGTGCTGGCTTCTTTCTCTTTGTTTATTTTTATGTATTTAGTAGTTATATAATATAATTATATATATATATGTATAACATAATGTTATATAATTTTAGGCTTTGGGATGTAAATCTTTCAGTTAGTTTCAGCGTTAGTTTCTCCGGTTACCATAATTACCTTTACCTCACCTTGACAAGGGTGAGCACACATACAGTTGAATGAAAACAGCCCCAAAGAACATAAGGTTTGGAGCTGAACAGGAGGGAGTAGAAGTTAAAGATTTGAGGAATTTTAAAATTTCAAACTAATTATTAAACCTGAATGCGTTTCCTTTAACAGAGAAAGCTTTCCTCCTCTTTGCAGACGATCCCTTACGGTGTTGACAGTCTCACCTCCACCCAGTGAGGTTTCCCAGAATGCAATGTTGCACTGGCTGGTTGCTAGGTTACAGCATGGCTTATTTGTGTGCAGCGGAAGAATGATGATGATGATGATGTAAAAATGTAGTAACATTTGAAAAAAAAAAAAAAACGCTACACACGTCAATTGTACTCTACAGTTAATACTGCATACGTAGTACTACTCCTTATATACATGTAAATGTGACCTACATTGTGAAACTAAAGCTTTGTGTTTTACCTCATGAATGATGTATGTCATTCATCTGAGAGAGTGTGTGTGTGTGTGTGTGTGTGTTGAGTCACATGACTGACTTCATAGCTCTACTCCTTTTGACCCCTAGGTCAATGTGAATCTCGTGTGCATTCATTTATTCCGTCAGCCCCCGCCGCAACCCCCCGGCAGCCTGTCCTCATCTTACACCACCCTCCTCTTCACTCGCAGCCTCCTATTTTTCTACATTTTACACTTCTGCTCCCTTTCCCTCCCCCTTTCCACTGTCCTCCCATTCCACCTCCCCTTCTTTACATCCTCGTTGTCCAAATAGATTTACATTAGCATTATTTCTTCTCGTTTAGCTGCATAACGTCACTGCTACGGTCACACACGTTCCCATGTGCACACACACACACACACAGTCTATGGGTGTGTGTGTGTGTGTGTCTCCAGAGAGCACCGGGGTCAGCAGGTCTCTGCAGTAATTGAGACACCAAATGGTGCCTGCGTCACTTCAGATGTTTTGATCTTCATCATGGCCTCAGACAGAGAGCTGAAGCCCCTCCAAATAATGCTTGACAGAAAACTGTTTGAAGTCAACAATGAAGACAATAAGAAGCAGCTGAGAAACTAGGGTTATGTGTTATGTAAATCCAAAAATCAGATGGAAAAAGAAAATAAACCAGGACACTGATTTAGCTAGTCCAAGCTAAGGTGTTATTTTAGTGGAGGAGAGAGATCAGTGTCGGTGATGCTGGTGTCAGTGGGTCTAACCTGGTATGAGGTCATCACAGCAGACTTCTATGGAACCTGAGGAGCAGTCGCTGAGTTCATCCACAGAGAAGATGTTGTCCTGCAGTCTGAACACAAGTACACACGCACGTCACATTAAGTACTTTTAAAAGATACAAATAAACCTCTCCACTGCATTTCACAGAGAAACTAAGTGATTTTAGATCAGGCACACAGGGCAGCTACTGCTCTACTGCTGCCTCCTGTGGTCAGTGAGTGTCACTGAGGAAAATCTAAACAACGGGGATCCATATGCACTGTACTTTGTAATAGGGTTACTTTATGTGATCACTATACTATGGTTTGATTGTAGGTGTATTTGTTTTGGTGTGTCCTCTTACCTGTAGCTAAACGGTGCAACTGTTGCCATGTTGACTTTAGGTGGGTGTGTCTCCACTGACTCCACCCCCTGCTCCGGATTTTGAGTGCCATACATCTTAAGTATCTCGGGTAGTTTAAAGGTAATGGGTGTTGGTAGTAGAGGTGGCCTGGGTGAGTAGATGGGGCTGCTGTCATCAGAGGTCCCCCCCATCTCCTCATCTGATTGGCTAGTGGAGCTTACACGCCCTTTCTTTACATTTTTGCAGTTCAATGGGGAAAGAGAAGGTCGGAGGTTACTGTAATTTGACAGTTCACTGTAGCCCGGATGATTCTCTGCAGGCCCTCCTTCTCTTGCAGGGTCTTCCCTGGACCGGTGGGTTTGTGGACTCCACTTGTGGTTTTGGTTCGTGAACGTGTTTCTGTTGTGGTTTCCATCGATGGACGGTTGTTTTACCATTTTGGGCGAGGCAGCAATGTCTTGCTCTGATGGAGCAGGGGCTTGGCATTGGTTCAGAGGGCCGCAGTAGGAAGAGTGGGATGGCAGGGGGGCGGGGCTACTGGAGTTCTTTGGGAAAAGCGACACAGAGTGCGTAGGTGTGGTTCGCGGAGTCTGAGTTAAGGTCTGATGACCGATTCTGGTCCTGTGACGAGGGTCCACTTTTGGTGATGAAAGCAACAGGCTACGAGGGAGAGGGATTCCAGAGGGGAGTGAGCCCCTGGGGGCAGACTTCACATTAACCCCACCACTCATATCTGAAAAAAAACAACACGGCAGAGGTAAATCATTATTGCATCACTCTTTAACAATATAGACCAAAAAGTCTCCCATGATGTGGAGTGAACTGCAGAGTCCAAAATAACATTTCAACTAAATGATGGAGGCAGCTGTGGATCAACAGTTGCTGGGTCCGGAGATTGAAAATGATCGATTTTCTTATTGGACTTTGGTGTTGGACACTAAGTGGTTTACTGTAAAGATGAAGAAGTTTCCTGTTGAAAGTCTGTCAGATGGACGTAGCTTGCTAGCGGCTAAACCATAGAATTATTTATGACATTAAATGCAGATGTATAAACAGGGAACACGGTGGTGCCCGAATAGTAACTGAAGAACCGACCCAACTAAAACCTAGCTTCTGACTCTAGCTAGCATCAGCTCGTCTTTTAAGCGCCTCCCACCGCCAGTTGAAGATCAGCAGCACAGAACCGATGCTGTACACACATATTTCCACTAAATTCAGAACAAACTCAGCGATCTCCGTGCTGTGCTGTGAGAACATGGGAATGAAGAGCACATGACACTGTCATCCACCACCAAATAAACTTATTTGAGGCAATAGCAACAACAACGATACACACACAAGAGCAACGCAGGTGAAGTGAGATTGGAACTCTGTGTCATAGTCAGGGCTGCTTCTGAAAGGAAAACAGATTTTCTGATTTTTTTAAAAAAAAAGGAATGTGTGTGAGCCGGAGATCAGTCCGCGTGGACATGTTGTCTGTCCATGTGACTTAATGTTAATGATGGGGACTGTGTTACATAAGTGAAGAAACAAAAGCTTATTTGTTTATGCTTTAAATGGATCAGGAAAGAACATGAACATAAAATCACAAGTTTGGTTTCTAAATATACTGTATATAAGTATATACAGTATGTGAGTATATATATGTCGATATAAAACAAAGAGAAATGTGTTTCCTGTTTATCACCGAAATGAGGAAAAAAATTTAAAAATTAAATAAAAATAGAATTTAAATTATTAAATTAAAAAACAAGCAAACTCTTTATCTAAAAGTGATTAATAAGATAATTCACAATATATATCACAATTTTATTCATTGACTTTCATCTCTTTACAAAGAAAACATATATCACAATTTTATTCATTGACTTTTATCTCTTTGCGCGTCCTAATTTGACTTTATGATAATTTATTTCTTCATTAGTCTCAACAGCTCCAGATGTATTATCTCTTTGGGAAAAATGCTTTTTTTTTATCTCATCTGCCTAAATCATAAATATCTTAATTCTCCTGAGGCCATTGTCACTGTCAAACTAAAACGTCCTGGGCTTGACGCCTTTCTGTTTATTGGAAACAGATGGAGTAATACCGCCCTCTAGCGGACATTATGATTCACTGCATCAGGTTAAACTGAACTCTGCGATATTCAGTCATACATTCATTCATTTTTTTTCTGCGTGTGTCTGTGTGTATGTATATATATGTGTGTGTGTGTGTTTATTTAGCTTTTTTAAAACAGATTTTTACTGTTTTTTACTGAAGAATCTGGAAAAATCAGAACTGTGTCCCTGACAATCTGGTCACAGTGAAGGTAAAGTTGCCAACTAAAGTTGTTGAGGTTAGAAAAAGTCATCAGCTAATTATGGTTACCTGCGGTTGTGACTCCGTGTGCGTGACTCTCTGATTCCGAGCAGAAACAGGAACTCTCACTCCTGTGTCATCATGAGAACAATGGCACAGGGTTTAGGGGTTTCCTGGATCACTTTGACATAATCACCATGGCTGCCCACCCATTGGTTCACACAGTCTCAACATCCACCACGACAGGAAGATGAAACAAAAAGGTGGTGCATTTCCATCCAATCGGAGGAGGGTCCCCTTCCTTCAAGAATTCAAGGAATTGTCACACAGCTATTCCTGAAAGAAGGAAAATTAACATGTTATGTTGTTGTGCTAAAAAATACATATTTAAACAAACAAATATATTTCACATGGAATTATCAACTAAACTTTTGAGATTTTTAAAAAACTTTAAATGTTCTCTTCTACTTAGTGACACATAGTGACCACAAGAGGCAGCAGCGGACCAGCGGCTCCTACCTGTGGACTAAAATAAGATTTTTTTTTTATTGTGTGGGAAAGTTCAAACCTTAACATATTTGAACCTCGTGTTGATAGCTACGCTTTCATGAAGAGACACCATTCAATACTAGGGGGCGCTCACACTGGAGACATCATTGTCGGAAGCGTTCTTCATATTTATGTCTTTCAGGTTAGCACACTAGAGTGTATTTAAATGATGCCGCACTGAGTCACCCCCAGAACACACACACCGAAGGGCTGACTCAACATGATGACATCACCATGCCCTCACTGGTTATTGGACACCACCACTATCTCATCCAGCTTAAGCCCCGCCTCCTCTGTCCGTTCATCTATCCATCCTGGTGAGTACATCAGCGTTGTGATGCTGTCAATGTCACTCTACCATTAAGAAGAGATTTTATATTTACCGGAATTTTAAAAGTGAATGTGACAGAAGTCCCATTAAGGTAACGAAATCAAACGCACATGTCAACGAAATCGAACACCAAATATAATTGACAACAGGTTTTACTCACTGTGAGACCTGAAACAGATGAAACACATCAGACCACCAGAACACTGCCTCTGCTCTCACTGCTGCTGCTGCTGCCGCTGCTGCTGCTGCTGTTACCGCTACTGCGAGCATGTGTGTGTTTTTGTGAGTGCGTGCGGTCACGTCACGCCGCTCGGCTGCTGCTGCAGTACGCCTGCATCCATGACTCCGCCCCTTC